TCTTAAAAGTATCTGATATTTTTTGTACTTAAGTATCAAAAGTAAATTTCTGATATAAAATCTTAAGTATTTAAAAGTAAAAAGTACTGAGTAAAAGTGAGCAGTTACACATTCGTTTCCTGTTAATCAGAATATTCATTTAGCCCGGGGGTCTGCAACCTTTACAACCATAACAGCCATTTCTGCTCCTCGGCTCACTAATAAAATGTATCCAGAGCCGCAAAATAAGCTACGACTGTGATTATCAACTGGTGGTCCGTGGGCCTTTTGGAGGCCTTTTCAGTAACCTTTATGGCCAGTGGAGGTGATGTTATAAAACTAAACAATTTATTGTGAATTATATTATTATTATTATCTTTACACATCAGGACAAATAAAAATACCACATTCATGTAAACAAGAAAAATACTGTATATAGTTAACTCCGAGTTTCATAAAAACAAGTACAACTCAGCTATTCGAGCATATGTTTTTTCTAATTCTTATGTAGTCAAAAAGGTATTTAAAGGTAACCCTGGTGGATTTGAGATAAAAGTCGTAGAAAGAACTTGGATTATTTGAGTGAACAACAGGCTAGCATGAGCTAACAAGTTTTGTTTTAAGTATTAAAAAAACATTAAACAACAACAGAAAACATCATTCTGTTACGTTTGGTCACTTTTTCAAAGAGCCACTGCAGATGGACTGAAGAGCCACAGGCTGCAGACCCCTGATTTAGCCAGACCAGATGGACCTTTTTACAAATGAAACGTTCCAGATGAAGAAACGATGAAGCAGAGATGAAAAAGCAGAGGGTGAATCCAGACCCCCACCCCCAGGCTTGACGTGAACCCCACCCCCCCAGAACGAACGTTACCTCGTCTGCGGCCAAAGCTCCGTGCTGCTTGTCAGCAGAGAGGAGGACAGACAGAAGGACGGGGACAGGAAGAGGACAGAGACACAGAGACATGGTGTTTGGTGGAAATAAAGCAGGAAGTGAAACCACACCTGAGCGCCGACAACGATCATTACCGCCCTCAGCAAACCTGCCGCACCTGCCAGAGGCTGCCCAGTGAGGAGGAGGAGGAGGAGGACAGGTGAGGTTTAACCACAGAAACGCCACAAAGCTGCTCGGCTCAATGAACCTGCAGCAGCTCCACTTCCTGCTAATCTGCCCTGGATCTTCACTAACGAGCTCAGAAAGGTGAGCGCCCATTAGAGGCTCGTTAGTCATCGTCACGGCTCTGGTCAAATATTAAAAGCTGTTCCCAGAGTCCGAGAGGAGAAAGAGGAAACTTCCCGGAGGCTGAGGGGAGGCGGTGGGCAGCTGAACGGATCTAAACCTACTGCAGGTCAAAGGTCACAGGATTCACTTCACAACTTCACTGAGGAGAAACTGAACGCACAAACTGGGMGTCTCCTAAACCTCCACTGATACCAAACATGTCCAGGTTCACCTGACAGRTCTTAGGTTAGCAGAAGTTAAAGTAAATAAAAAAGGGAAATGCTGTTTTGTTCAGGTTAAAGGCCAAACAACTGTAATCCTCAGAGACTCGTGTAAGAAACGTGAGAACCTCACAAATGTTTTGAGACATTCTGGAGCCTCCCTCATCAACCAGTCAGCAACATTTGCAGCCCGTGGAGATAAAACCATCAACTCTGCTCTGACGTGGAACAATCAATAAGAACACGGATGGTCTTTGCTCACTCAAAGTTCGAGTTTTAACAGAAAAATCAACAACTCTTGTTTAGGGATTGTGTTTAAATGTTCCCGTAATCTCTAAGATGCTAATTTACAATCCTGCTGTTTTTCAATGAAACCACAAAAGGAGGCAAAAAGCTCTTTAATGCCACCGAACAGCAGGAAGTGTTGCTCATCTGTCACAGAAACAGACTCATTGCTTAAAAAAAAAACAATTTGGGCCTTTGCATTGTGAGACTATATATTTTCTCCCAGGCTGAGTTTTCATTAAAAAAGATCCTGCTCTCCAATCTAAAAGAAACTGGTCAGTCTCCTCTGCTGCCGCTCGCAGYCTGGCCTCAGGAAAAACAAAGTCACCTAGCAACCCGAGCCGAAGGAAGACGACTGTGAGCTGGGAAAGTGTCAGACGGCTCAGACAACATGACCCATGAGAGGGGGGCGAAGGAAACACCAGGAATTAAAGACAAACTTCAAAGTGTGAGGAAAACTGGGAGAGTTCTGTCGGTAAACCTCCTACAAGTCTTTATCACCATCACAGAATCAGTGTGAGCCCAGGAACACATGAAGAAAACTCAGAGTGAAACTACCAGGTAGCATCTAACTGCAACTGCTGGACACTGGTTTGTGACTTCAGATCGTGGAACAGTTGAATTCTGTTTGCAGAGTGTTTGGGAACAAGGAGCTAACAATCTGCAGCCACGTTTTGTTTGAGGAGTCATTTTAAAGGAAACGGAACATCTGCAAACATTGGGAGACTCCCAATTGGACTGGTCGCCAGTAGCTGCAGCCAAATGAGAYGTTAGCTCAGAGCTGCTTTCAAACTAAATGATAACTCTGCTACGATGTAAAAACACCGAAACACCGATGGTCTTTGCCGGGTCCTGGAGGTGTCTTCAGACATGTAGCGGTTTAGCAGGCTGATTTATGGGGTGCCGTTTGTAAAGTTACACAGTCAAAAATTACCACCAATATTTATGTTTTATTTAGCCTTTTATAAGAAAAAAGAACAGATTTATTTTTAAAAGTCAGTTATTCACCATATGATTCATACATTTATAAATGTCATCGTTTATAAACTAAATATTTAACTTACAAATTAAATATTTAGTTAACAAGCTAAATATTTAACTTGTGACTTAAATATTTAGTTTTGAGCTTAAATATTTAGCTAGTCACCTAAATATTTAACTAAAATATTTAGCTAGCTACCTAAATATTTAACTTGCTAGCTAGATATTTAACTTGCTAGCTAAATATTTAAGTTGCAACCTAAATATTTAGGTAGCTTGTTAAATATTTAACTTGCTAGCTAAATATTTAAGTTGCAACCTAAATATTTAGGTAGCTTCCTTAATATTTAAGCTAAATATTTAAGTGCTGTCCAACCCAGTTAAAATGAGCACTCAGCCTGCTGCCATTTTTGTGGCAGTAGCCCTTAAATGTGTCCTGTTGATGCTCGCTCTGGAGCAGGCTTGGACCTTAGAGGGTTAAGAACGCTACAAATGGTAAGAACACTTTGCGTCACTCATCAGGCCGGTGGGATAAAGACACGTCTCCCTGACTTGTTTATTGGAATCTAGTTTTACATGTTGGGGTATTTTTAGAAACCTCGCAGGTCAAGTCAAGGAACCCTGGCCTTAAAAATAAAAACATCTGACATGAACCCCTGTGGCGAGGACGCGTGTTTATCATGAAATTCCTCTCATTCCTGATTATTGTTTGAAGCTCGGAGATAACAGCAGCAGTGACTCGCCTGTAGAACCGAAGCAGGTATGAACAATACTTGAAACGTGACTCACCGTTGAGCGTCATGATGTGATCAGCTCCAGGATGATGAAAGTTGAGTCCCATACGTCCTGCTGAAGAAGATAAAGACGTTTTAAAAAAGGGAAAAGTTATTTTTATGTCACAGTCAGGCTCTCAGACCAGTGGACTTGAAAGATAAACCTGAGTATCATCAGCATAGCAATAAACACCAATAAATTTATGTATAAAGTGTCCCAGAGAGGGTGTGTTTATTAGGAAAACTATAAACCTCAACTATAAAATTAATGTGGAGGTGAAAGTTAAAGGTGGTGACGCTGCGTAGACACATTCTTTCAGTTGATGATCATGAAGGAGTAAACGTTTAGTGACGTAAACGTTTAGTGACGTAAACGTTTAGTGACGTAAACGTTTAGTGACGTAAACATCACATGACGAGTCCTGACCCAGAGGGAAGTTCTGAATTCTCTCCAACCCGACGTCTGACAGTCAGGCCAGGCTGTGGTCCAAGTTCAACAAACCCGGGGGACGGCAACTGCGTGGGTGGTCTGTTTACTGGTTTATCAACCGGATTACAAGGTCTCAGCTCAAAAGTCTAACCGGCTGATTCTTCAGAGAGAATCCCGAGCAAGTCCTGGACTTAAACCTAGTTCTGGTGCAATCAAAGAAGACCATGAGTAAATCCTCTTCCTGCAGAATAATGTCGTGTTAAATTTTCTGACTGGAAGGCAAAGGTTACAACAAACACCAGATCTGTGCTTGCCTTTCTGCCTACACCAGTCCTTTTGGGGGACACATTGGGGGGGTGCAGTTATGAAACTAGCTTTAAATAGCTCTGGATAAGTGCCATCTGTTTCCCCCTCTGAGGAGCTGACTGGCAGGGCCCGAGGGGCCACGGTGCCGTTCTGGTGACATTCCTCCATGGAAAGCCCAAGACATCCTCAACCTCTCAGCGGTGGTCGCTCCGGAGGAGTCACACCATCTGCTTCCTGTTTCTTTGATCGCACAGGAAATCCTTGACCTGCAAAGATGAGGGAGGGCGGAGCACCAGACCCAGGTACCTTGCCTCTCTGGAATGCTTCCTATTCCGTTTGGGGGAAACAACCCCTCAACTTTGACTGACAGGCAAGCAGTGATCTGGCATCTCTGTCAGGCAACGATCAGCTGTTAAACAGAAAAACTTTSATCATCAACATCGACCAAATTAGACGAACGGCAAAAATGTACCGGAGAGCCTTTTAAGTTCAACACCAATGTTATTTTTGGTTTTCCACCATTTTAAATCAAACTTTAGATAATTAACAGAATTCAGAGGGATCATTGGATGCAAACAAGGCCTGGATCATTTTTCCATTCTGTAGGTTCAACTTCCAGGAAGTGAAAATAGACAGGAGCAAAGGTGATTCATCAAAATTGCAAGACTTTCCATTAATAGTTGCCATCCCAAAATCCTGGAGGGACTGCATACCTTCTGTCAGCTGCTGCCTTCAGGGGTCTCCACAGCAATTCTGCCTCATCTGCCCCTAACCCAGCATCCTTCTGTACCCCCAGCCCTCTGCAGATCCTCCATCACATCCATCAACCATATCTATGCTTTTCCTCCCTGGCAGCTCCATATTCATTGTTCCCTCCTCTGAAGGTTTGGACCCCTGGTTTATGCCCCTCTGGCAGAGTCAATCAAAACTCTCAGCTACCATCACAAAACCTACAAGCACCCTGTTCTTCAAGTTTATATCCATCTATATTTTCTGTATTCTCCACACCACCGACTGTTTCCCTCCTGCACTTTGACATTTACTGCACCTATTAAAAACCCATTAACAGGTCCATGAGAAAACCTCAGCTGAACTCCTGACAGCGGAGTGGGAGCGCCAACAGCAAGGTGTGGAAATAATAACCCAGAAGAAAGAAAAAGAAACACCACATACCACATGACAACTTTCTGCTGACTCAGAAATCTGCAGTTAACAACAGAACACAAGAAAGAGGGGAAAAAACATTGAACTCTGTGAGATAAGAGGAGGTGACAATCCGTTGGTCTGTGTTAGCAAAATATCTCATAAATCACTGGACAGATGTCTAAATTTCTGACATGAAAAGCCGCTGGTTGATATGCATCGACTCAAAGGCTGTTTGACTTTAAATTTTTTTAAACTCATCTCTGTTTGACAGAATTGCTTCTTTCTTCTATTTCAGAGCTACTTAAACTGAACCAACAGCTCTCAACACAAAGATTACAGGGGTCAAAGGCCACAAGCCACAGATAACATCAACATCTTTACAAAGTTTGAATAGTTGTGGTTATTTACCTTTATTTTGAAAACTATTGTTTTTTTTGTCACAAACATTCAGTTGATTACTTTTACTTATTTAATTTAAT